AGGTTATTCAAAATTCTAAATTTAACTTTACATATTTTTCGAGTGGCTATGATGAGCACTTGTTGAAGGTAAGCTTGACATTGTAAGCATTATTGTTGTAATTAATATTCTGAGCCAATAAACTCGAAACGATAATTAACAAACACGTTAGAGCCCTGGACTATCTCATTGTAGGCTAAGCTATCTGGACAAATTTAAGGTGTGACAGAATTTCAGGTGAGACGACAATCACGTACTATAAAATCTCAATTTTGTCTCTCAACCCGAAATTTCGTCATAAATCTCTGCCATTTGCTAAATAGCTGAAGTAAAGTTGTGAGAAGGATACAGTTTCAATAAACACTTGTGTTAAATTGATAAATGGGTTTTAATAGGTTGATTTGTATATTTGACATACTGGAACTTACATGTGTGAGAAAATATAGTTATTTTAATGATCCATTTTTTTACTGCTCCTTCATAGGATTTTGTGCCATTGAAACGACCAAAAGCAGTAATATTGTAAACTTCATTATTTTGTTTTATCTTCGATAAAATATAAGATTTAAAAATATTTTGTTAAAAAGGAGATCCTAGATTCCAATTTGACAACATGCTCCATCAAATACATTCGTGTGTAATTTGAATACATCTTGATGTGTGTAATCTTGTACTATCATTGAAATGGGGACACCACCTATATGCATATTTTAGCCCAAATAGTTTAAAGTTAGCGTTCCTGTGTTTGCAGTTATTACAATTCTGACTACCTTGAAAGGTTAAACCTCATAACCAACATTTACTGGCAATATTTTGTATATCTCTGAATTATTTTTCAAACCTTGCCTCTTTTAATTTTGTTATTGCTCGTGAAAATAGTATTTAAGCATATTCAAAACATGAGAACCATCCTAATCAATATAAAACTAACATTTACATTTCAACCAGTTAGTAAATGATTCTATGAACTGTAATGTCTGATACTTTTACACTGTAGAAAAAACAACGAAGTAATAATAGGTACCTTCTAACAATCTTTGTATCATAAAATTGGCCTATGAATAATTAAACAGACTTACCTTGGTTTTATTGCGGTTTTCTTTCATCAGAGACACTGAGCTAGGCCTACTTAAAAACTAGTAGGCTTGTATTAAAAACTTGTAACATTGTGTCAATTTAATTAAACATCTTTTTCCATTTTGGAAATATATAAATCAATATTATAGAAGTGTAAAATTTGGTTTTTATCAGCAAAACATTTCTAATTGGAGCTTAGTTAAATCAAGTAGTATCCTTATATATAATACGTGAGGGCGATTTCTACAAAACACTACTCCTCCGTTAATAATGAACGGATTCTTACAAACTACGTGTCAAAATAAAGTATTTTTTGTGTGGACGCCCCCTTTCACCAATTCATGTAATAAAAGTCCTCGGGCTTTGCCCCACAGGCCATCAAAGTTGGAGTTTCTCCCATAAGATTAACATGGGGGAATCTAAATATTTAATTGGAAACTTTGTCCCCATTAATTTAAGAGAACGGCTGGGCGTAGAAACTTGGTAGAGGTGTCAAAAGAAAGGTCTTGGTCTGTAGATGAGTTACCAAAAGAAAAACTAAGCAAAATCCCTTAGAACTTTGCCCCAGAAGCCTTTAAAGATCCCGCCACAGAGTTGTTTACATTTTGGCCATGTGAATAATACTTTTTAATGAAACAGCTGTTCATTTTTAAATTGTATTTCAAACATCACACATTTACTGGGAGTTACTGAATTCTACCAAATAAGTATTTGCAATGTTATTTTCCGATTTTAAAATTAATTTTCTTCTTTATCATGTCATGTTTTGCAATATAACATTCCATTATGAAATCCATTATGAAAGGAAAATCCTTTTATCACAGCAATTCTTAAATTATTTCTTATTGAACTATCTTATATCTATTGAACGGGTTGGTGTCTGCCTTTTTCACCACTGTTGCCTACATTTTATCATATTATTCTACACATATCAAATATTTATGTAGAAATATCTGCTATTATCGTGTCTAATAAGATCCAAACATAGAAACCTTGCCTAAAATGGTATCCATCTTGACAAATTATTTGCTCCTGCCTAGGGCCTATATTGCAAACTTTGGTGCACTGGGTTGGTAACATTATTGAAAATAACACGACATTTTGGCTGTAAACTATGATACAAAGAGAAAATACTATTTAGCAACTACTGTCATGACAGAAAGGTCATATTCCTTTTAAACTAGATCGCATAATCCTTTATAAGATACGTTGCTTAACAATATATAAACGTCAATGTCGTCAATATATACGTATTAGCCAATTTACAGTATTTTTGCTTTTTGGAAATGTCCCATTGCTATGTCATTTGCATTATTTGATGCCAATGAAGCCACAAGACCATATGAACTAGGAGGCCCCTAACAGTTCAAGAATAAAAGCCAACTTCACTTCAAGTATATTCCACTACACCTAACATGCGGTAGAGAGATTATATTGACAACTTTATGTTATTGATAAGGCTGAGACAACTAACTGACTTCCCCCATGTCAAGGAATTCTAGCTTTAACAGTAACCCCACAATCAATTTCTGAAAACTATGCTAGAGGGTTCATTCATTGGCTCAGAAGTACGATATGTACTGCCCTTACGTGACGAAGGAAAAATCAAACTTACACTGTAACGGATATACCTCCCTTTGAAGTGAGAATATGTCTTCCCAAAAAATATTTTCTTTTGAAATAAAATCATACTACACTGATGAAATCACGGAAGTGTTTAGCTACAAAAGATCCAATGCCAAACAACCAAATGCGACACAGACAATGCAACACACAGACCAACAGACCAATGCGATTTTAATACGATTTAAAGGTTCTTCCAAAGGAAGAGATACCAGATAACATACTAATAATAACTCCGATGACGTACGGTATGGGGAATATTTTATTCATTGAATGATCAACCAATTTTGGCAACTAACGCAATTAATATCATTATAGTCATTTACACCATCATTTACATCATTTACACTTATAACTCTTTAAACAATGCTAAATGCTCAAAATATGTATATTTCACCCAATTTATCTCAGTTAGATGAATTAACGTAAGTCTTGAAAGTAACCGTCGATTTCGACGGGTTTCGCCTAGTTGGATATAATAGCTGTCCATTCAAAATAAAATCTATCAATTAAATTGTATGCTTGCCTATTAATATATAGATAGGCTAAACTATTTTTATTTTATTTTTTGTAAACAAACAACAAATAAAACATATGGTTTACCAAAATAAATCAAAATATTTAGGTATTGATAAAACTAAGTGTACAAACAATTTTAAACTCAATATTTTTGATACAACATAAAAATAGACATCTTCAGAACTTACTTATATATAAACTTAGTAGTTAAAAAAAAATATTGATTGTAGTGTTGGTGAAATGCAATACTAACTACATTCCTTCATGTAATTTTGAAACGTGATCATGTTTGCAAGTTTATTGATTTTAGAGCTTGAAACTAATGAAGTCATGAAAAAGCCAATAGTGTTTAATAATAAACTTAAAATGGACCTGAAGGTATTTGTTTTTCCTTTTGAATCAATTTGACGTTTTGTACACATTATTTTAAAATTACATTTCAACCTAAATAATTTATAGTTTCATATCTCAATCAGAAAAAAAACATTTGAAATCAAACTTATGGCTAATCAAACTACTATTATAGAAATGGGATGACTTTAACAAAGCTAAGCTAGAAATTCAATTAAGATACTTTTATTCTACTCCAAAATAATCTACTTGGTCTCATAATTAATTCATGCAAAGCTAAGGATATGATAAAACAATGTTTCTAATTTACAGTTTTACTCATCAATTTATCATTATATTACTCACGATACAGAGAGCTTGTGACTGGTTTTGAAGTTTATTTCAAATATGAATGTTGTTGCTAGGTAACTTATTTATGATTCTTTGTTAAAAGTGGTTATCTGTTTTTGTTTTTTTTTCTTGTAACCAAGGTGAAGTAAAATGTTAAACAAAGTGTTTTCTTGATAGCAAGGGCCGTCCCAGGGGAGCGTCAAGGGGGTCGTGACTCCCACCCAAAATATTTTTTATATATGTAGGCCTAAACTATTATACCAGGGAAACTTTGGGTAGACTTACGTATCTGTTGGCACAAACAACGAATGAAAATATTGATTATTCGATTGTTTCATTCGATATATCGTTTGGTAATTTAGGTGACTAACCTTACCTAACTAACCAAACGATATATTGATCGATATTTAATATATATCCATATATAACAGATACAATTAGAAACTTAACTGGTGCAAATAGTTCAACCGAAATCAATGTAACAGTTGTGGCAAACAATATAGGACTAATAAAAAAACTCTAACCTAAAACTTGGGACCGTTACTGAGTTAGTCTATTTTTTTGTATGTTGTGAAAAGTAGGGTTGATCGTCAGACGACGAATGCTTAAGGCCATATAGCAGTGTCTGATGCTGACGTTCGGCCGCATTCTTCTTATTTAGTCTAATTGTTCCACATTTAATGTTATCATTCATTTTAACCTAAATAATTGAAATTTGAATTGGCTATTGGATAAAGAATAGTAACTTTATCAAAGATATTTTGTCAAAAGTCGCTTGAAAGATAGGCTAGTTGAATATTAATTTATCTGAGTTAAACAATAGGAATTTGTAATAACACATTAAAACACATTCATCAACATCTTTAAACTCACTTTTCACGTTCTTGTACATCTTTTCTTATTGATTAATGCACCTTCAGCCTCATAACTTCACCCTCAAACTGAACTTTTGAGGAATTCTTCTTCAGCGGCAAAGTCAATACCTATTTTGAAACTGTCACTAATCCACTTTGATTCAAGCTTCTCCACTTCACAGCCTTACGTTAGGGAAGTTTTCACCCTCAAATTGTTTGACAATCAGCTATTGTGTCTAACGCTCATAGAAAACTTTCTGTTTGCAGAAGAGAAAGAGATGCTGAGAAAGATTCCTGGAGAAGATCCTGGGACAGGAGAGAAGTAACGAATGATCAATTCTGGAACGCTCTTGAAGAACCAAACTACCTCTACTTAATGGATTGTAATTTAATAGATAGTTGTAAGGTAATGTGCATCTTTTCAGTATTCATGTTGACTAATAATTCTTTGTTTTCAATTGTTTAAAAAACATGGAAAGAAATTTGATCAAAATCAGTTTACGGTCATTTATTGGTTATGACCCAAAGTTGCGATCCAGTAAATGACTGACTGTTTTAATAACTGTTGGTTAGAATTTTGATCTTAAAATGAGTAAAGAATATACTAAACTTTAACCTGTATAATTGTGTATAACAGTAGAACCTCAATATTTTGATACTTTATAGAATAAGGGGGTGTCGAACTATTAAAATTTTGAATTAGGCTATAGGGATGTATATTGGACAGGGGGGACACACAGGGATTATTTAAAATTTGAAATAAAGCTAATAAATACATAAATAGTATAAAACTTGACAAAAATAAACAAACATTTGCATCCCTACTGTACATTCTTTAAGTCTTCTTTACTCAGTATTGCTCTCACCCTATAATTACAAAAGGAAAGACGTTTATCCCGTAAAATGATGAGGCCTATCAGTCATAAAATACTTTTCTCATATTTTATTATGCAGTTTTTCTGTATTTCTGGCTAATTTTCAGGCTCACCTTTGAATCTGAAGGTCGCTGGTTTGATTCCAAATTGTAGTTTAAGAAATTGAATTGCTATTTCTTTAAATTTTTCGTATTGTAATTACAGTACTTTTAACTTTTTGTAACAACCATTGAAATAAATCCTGACCAACCAATCAGTTGGTACCAGTCAGTTTAAAAGCTTCTCTCTTGCAGCCTATGCCACTGCCAAACACCTATTTGATGTATACTCGACTCTGGCTATAAATTTGCGGAGCTGCATCTCCATCTTGACTGTCCATATTGTCAAATCTTAGTACAGTATACGTACTAATAATGTTCAGGAGCATTTCAAAAGCAAAATACAGCTTTTCAGATTTTTATTTGTATTTTTCACCCATATTTTAATTAATTGATTTCCTAATTCTGTATGTGTTGTTTTGTAGCAATACTGTATTGGGGCTTTGTTTATGAAGATTTTAATTTATATACACAATTCTCTTGCAGGAGGTGAGGAACGATCTTCACTACAGCTGTTCACCGTCTCATGACTGGAGCTTTGACCAGTTCTGCGCTCAGTTTACAGAACTCGACCAATGGCTCACAAGTATCCAGGAGACTATATACAACAAGGAGGAGAACGTCACCGATAGAAACTTAAGACTGGTAATTATAATGTTAGCTATGTCTGAGAACTAGTGTGAAGATTGGATGTAGCCTAAATTAAGGAAACTTTTTCAAGTCGCAGCCATGCAGGCTAATTTAAACTTGAAAGCGCAGCTGTTTCCTTAGTTCTCTGATTACTATCTTTGAGTATTAATACAACTAGACTTTCTATCCACATGTTTTTAATTTGTAGCCAGATTTTTATCAAAATCGTCGTGGTTGATGTGATCCACCGACAGATTGCGTTGATCTAAATTAATAATTTCTGTCGAATACACAAACCTTTTTACCAAGTCAAACTTAGGGAGTGACTTATGGTGAGCTATAGCAACTGGTATGACCCAACAACCTGGTCATCAATAATAGATGAGGTAGCCTATAAAATAGGATTTTAGACACATGCAAATTCTGTGACTAGCTCACACAATACAGCTGGTCCATATAGATGGGAGGTATACTTCAGTCAAATCCAATAGTCAATGCTATTATTTTGGTTTGTTATGGCCTTTATACAACAATTATCTTGCCGTCGTAGCCTATAACAATATGATGGAAAATTGACGTTCTTGACAAATATGAATCACATTCTAGAATATATTTCTGGGGAATTCATTGCCAGTTGATAGACTATGAAGAAATGGATTAATGTAAATAATTTACAATATTGAGGAGGCCATGATACACATTTGCACAGCGCAGTACGGCTGCAATAGCTTCCATGCAGAGACAGTAAATAATTTGGAAACTTTACTTGTGGATTTGGAATGTTGAAGACAATCATGGCTAATGTTTGTTTTCAGCTGTAGACGTCCCTTATCAGTTAATCCTTTGCGGTCGAATGGCGAGTATAGGTCGCCGCCCGCTATTTTGCCGACTGCTCAAAAATGGCGACCTACAAGGACCCCCCAAAAAAAAAAAAATCCAAAAAGTAAATTTTTTTGGTCGAATGGCGAGTATAGGTCGCTGCCATTTTCCTGCCTGCTTGAATGGCAAGCTAAATTCACCGGAGAATGTGGAAAAAATTCAACCTCAAAGGGTTAAACAATACTTTGCTAGTCATGCCCGATTCCTCATCCAAAATGTATTTATCTGACTTTACAAAATTCATGAATGATCGCAGCCAGCCTACATTGTGCAAAACTTCATTTGAATACCCTGCAACTGTTCACGACCATCTTTAAACTCTCTACTTCTTACACACATTTCCCATGTCCCAATATATACCTCATTCTTATCTGTCAACTGAAAATTAATTAAATTAGGTGTTTGTACATTAGACCTCAGAAATGTAACAATTGAATGTGATTAATGCTGAGAGCTTGATTTCTAGCTGTTGATTTCTCTTCACATTGTTATCAGCTACTGGTTTGTCTTGGCCTAATCTTTCAATTTGACTCCATCGTAGTTTTATTTGTACAAGTACATCCAGTACTTTGCTAAACTTCTTTCATTAAGATTTAAGGAATATAATATTCGATCTTGAGAGCCCTTTATCACTTGCAACAAGTCTACCATTTTGATGTCTAAAATGCAGCATTAAAATTTTTTAAAGACAGATCTAATTAATGGTTCATCTAGGATGTTACTGGGAAAACAAAAATCACAGTGTGCCGTCCATCAATTTATTTTACTGGTTATTTTATGTAGTGGATCGATTTCTCAAGGTCTTCAACTTGGATGCAAACATTTTGAAATAATTTTCTATCTTCTGCATGCAATAAAAATACCTTGAGATTGTTATCAGTGCTTGATTTTTCTCCGATCTCAAAGAGAGGGAGTCTACTGCAGTCCTATTTACTATATGAAATCATTGAAATAAGGAGCTCTTAGAGACAACTTTTTCTGGGTTTGGTTACTAATCTTTTGATAGAGATAAAACTTGTAAACAATCGTAAGCCATAGTATGGTCTTGGGGTCATGCCAAAAGTTGTTATAAGCAGTAAATAATATAGGCTAATCAAAATCATCTTGGAAATTGATACTATGACTATTACCTTTCTATTACTTAGAATTTTAATTATGTAAATTCAAAGTGATTGCCTTTGTTTGTCATAAAGACAGATTTTCTTGGGGAGGACCTGTAAGGAATAGGGATCAGACTTATTTCTACTTTAGGATTTTGTTCAAAATTTTGGCCCTTGTGTCTTAGGCCAAAATTGGGATGGTTTGGAGGTCCAAACTGCAATCTGGCTATAAAATACTAAATAAGATCTCATCCGTATCCCATATGGTTAAATTAAGAGCATTTTTGTGGTCTCGGCAAAATTGTGAGCGTCTTCCCCAGTTTAGGTGAAATTGTGAAAAATCGTCTCTGGTCACGGCAAAATCAACACCATCTTCCCACCATCTTCCCCCGTCACGGCAATATTATGAACATCTTATGGAGTCACAGCAAAATTATGAACTTATACCGCAGTTAAGGCGAAATTGAGATCATCTTCTGAGATCGCGTAGAATTTGTAAACTTTTTCTCCAGTCACATCGAAATTGTTAACTCATACCGCGGTTGAAGCAAATTAAAGAACATCTTCCAAGGTGGGGTTGTGATCATGAACTTCTTCCGCGGTTACAGCAACATCATCATCATCAATTCTCACAATTGCGGCAAAACTGTGAACAACACCCAATTGTGGTGTAATCATCAATTTTTGATCGTGCATCTTTGTTTTCTAGTATTGCAAAAATAAAAAATTTTCTCAAGCTGAGTTGGCTTTAAAAATATTTCTGTCCCGAACTGACTCCTTGGGCCAGTTGTTGACCCAACCTAATACAAACATATCGGGACCCGCAAACCCCTAGTAAGGAATAGCTCTAGTTCTGAAGTGTGTTGGCTCTTTTCATTAGTTTTAATTAAACATTTTATAAACATTTGTTTTGAAATAGTTACATGTGTGATTCATTTGCTCTTTGGCTTGACTGAGCTACTCAATCTAATTTAAGTGAAGCAGTTGGCACCAATCTGCAGCACTTGCCTCTGGTAAATAATTGTTCAGCTCCAGACACGGCTAAGGAACGGAGGTAGTTAACTTTGGCAGAAGTAAATTGCTTCAGAGGATTTCACAGCGCACCTAGTTTCATGCGACTAGAGTGGTTTCAGACATATCTGATGTACAGTAGAGAGTCGAAAATCTGAATGTCAAAAATCCCGAAACGTCAAAAATCCGAATCGCTCCTGAGGGTTTTAAAATATTGAATTAGCACAGAGACAACAGATGTCTTACAATTTCGCAGAGAAATGATTGATTGTGCCGAGCCAGTCTGTGTTTTTTTTTGTTTCCCATGTATAATCTCTACATATTTTTTCCAAGATACGAATTACAGCTATAAAACAAAAATACCTAAGTACAAAAATCATCATTTTTATTTATTTAATTCACTGTATCCTGGAACTGTATTTTTAATACTGTAGGCCTAATTATGTGTCTATTAGGCAATTCTAGGCTATGTTTGAAAATGTGTACAAATCGGTAATCTGAACTACCTACGGCAAGGGTGGTCCCATGGGGAGGGGGTCAGGGGGGTTGTGACCCCCCCAAAATATTTTATATATAGATAAACTATTATACCAGGGGAACTTTAATAATTTTTATTGCAAATCGTTCTACCAAATTGAAATTCATTGTAGTCTTTACACTTGTGGCGAACAAATGGACAACATTCAAACAAACATACAAACTCTAACCCAAACCTCGGGATCGTTCGAGTCTGACAATTTTTTGTACGTTATGAAAATTAGAGAAGATCGGCAGACGACGGACGCTTTCAGCCATATACGGCAACGGCAGTGTCCGATGCTGGCGTTCGACCGCATTTTCTTCTTATTTAATTTTTCGGCATTTAATGTTATCATTCATTTTAACCTAGATGGTTGAAAACTTGAATTGGGTATTGGATAAAGGAAAGAAGTTTTATCAATAGTCAAAGCTTGAAAGGTAGTTGAATATTAATTTATCTGAGTTCAGCGATAGGAATTTGTTATTACAGTAATGTAATTCAATGATTACCGTAGACAATTTTAAAACTTTCAATATTAAATGTCATTCATATGTAGAGCACCTGATATCTTATTTAAGAATAACACAACCCAATTGGTAGTGTCTCAGACTTAGATGCAGAAGGGACGGACTTAATTCCTGGCACAACAATGGGCACAACCAGAGAAACGTTGCACAAAAACTTTATTCTCACGTTGACCCTTTGTAAACTGCCACTGGCGTAGAAAAAATTAGAACACTGAGAACCAACTCTTCAGGCGGTAGCAGAGTCGGGATGCCGACGGCAACGTTAGTTGGGTAGTGTACTTTGTGTAGGTTAACTGTTGCTTACTGGGCAGGTATAATGCAGTTGTGTTGGGTGCAAGTTTTTAAACACTTCTTAGATAAAATAAGTTCTCTGGTTCAAAATCTTGGTCTGATTTTGGACAATTTCTGTTTAGCATGCACATTGGCACCAGTTAAAAGGGTGTTTTCGTCAATCAAACATGCTTGAATGTGTTGTAATGTTGCAGTATTCCTTTTATATTAAAACCACAAGTCTCAATAATAAAAAACATGACATTATAAAAGCTTATTTTTTTACATTTTTTACCTTTAAAAAATAAACTGGGAAGCTTGAACACATTAAACTAGGTCCTCAAAATAGCTTAAAAACCACTAATTTTAGCACGTTATTTCCAAATTTTTCCATACCCTACAGGCCCCCCATTGACCACCCCCAAAATATATGTGTAGGACCGCCCTTGCCTACGGTCCCAATTGGTTTGGATTCTCTACTGTATTACCTTCTCGGAGTTTTTCCCGCAGATAGGAGTTGCGTAAAAGATAGGTGTTACAAAACTAAACTCTCGGAGGTCTTTCAAACTTTTACTCATGCTGTAGCTTTAAAAAGTACACAATATACAACCCATATAATCAATAGATACAAATACTGTTCACAGAGTCACATAGAAGAGATGCACCACAAAACGTACAAGCGGAAAGTGTTCAACAACCAAGGTGGCCGGCTGGCAGCCAAGTTCCCTGGAATGAAAGATGAGGTCAAACGACGCATGACTCATCTGAACCGCAAGTGGGAACGGCTGGAGCAGACGGTTACGCCAAGGAAACACTCACGAGTCGATACCTCTCACCTCGAACATCTCCCAGGTAACAATGACATGCTTTGACTTTATAAATCTGAACAGCCTATGTAGACCCTTGGGATCAGTTGGATTAGAACACTGACACAACTCTTGAGTTGGGTCAGTGTTCTAATCCAGGTTTTGCCCTCTGGTGCTTCAGCCGGTCCTTTAATACTGCCGCTTGACTGAGTAAAGGGTACTAGGACGCCCAATAACAACAAGTAATTTTCTATGATATTGTTAAATACAATGTTATATTTTAAATTTGTACTTATAGTTTTTCTAAAATCTTCTGTTAACACGTTCGCTGCTACGGACGTTCCGGAACGTCAGCCGGGCCACGGCGCCAGGAGCTAGGGATGTTCCGGAACGTCACCGTTCATTGTTGTTTAACGTTGCCATGGATAAGCCAGCTCGTCGCAAGCGTCCTATATTTCTTTGCAGCTCGTGGGGACGTACTTTTCTGACAATAAAAAATATAGTTTGCCAAAGTCACCACCAGGGTCGTTTGGAACAGGGCTTTGTTCCATCTCTTTCCTGCTAGATAGCGACACTACTTTATCGACTGGAACCTGGGTAGTGCTGCTATCTATCAGAATCACTTAGTACTACGTCCAAAGCCAGTTTTATTGCAGAACATTGCCATCCAGTATAACTACTGTTGTTTTTACTGTAATTTAGTGTATTGGCGGCACTGTCACGCAGCGGCGAGCGTTTACTTCAGCTCCTGGCGCCATCCCGGCATCTAGCGGTCAGCAGCAAACATGTTATTTGATACAAAATTTCACACAAATCGGTCAATATTCAATGATTACAGATTTTTATTCACAACAATCAAATTTGTGAATAAAATGTGTAAATGTCGACTGTTGATAACATTAAATAAAAAAATTACAATATCCCTTTGTTTTACTTGTTTTTTAATATTTAAAATCAATTACTTTTGTTGGTATTAAACTCAAGATCCCTTAGGCCGGCCACACACAAAACAAGGCAGGGCACGTCAATTACACAATTTAGCCCCCATAAACCTGAAAAGTAATATAGGAATTTTTATATCTGAGCCTTGAGCCGATTTAGCCAATTTTTAAATTCAACTTTATACCTAGGAGCAGAATAGAAAACAAAATTCAAACAGTAATACCTCCAGAGGAGTGGTTTTTATAACCCCTCTCTTTCCTCAGTATCAATACCAAGAATTAGTTGTTCAACCACTATAGTAATACTATTGTATAGTGGTATAAAATGTTAGCCATACATGTAAAGTGTTATCAGTTGTAAAATAATCCATATCAAAATAAGCCTGTGTGGGAATAAACTTATGGGGGGGGGGGAGGGTTCTTACCGTCGCCACTGCTCTTGGAGACAAGCTAATGGTCCGACAGACTCTTGGGCTCAGAAGTAACACGTTGAGAATAAATTTAAGTGTACCTGGTTTGGTTGTCTACAGAAGAGTTGTTGGAATTGTCACTAAAAACTCTCTGTACTCATCCTCATCCTCTAAACTGGTCTTGTGACATATTTTCCCCTCTCAACTTTGTGTCCTTACAATACTGCTCTAAGGTTTGTTCATTTTGATTAGATTAAGTAACTACCAGCAAGTTATAACCAAATCAGATTATTATGATTGTTTGTGGCTTACTATACAAAAATAACTCTGTCATATTATTGAAGTTCAGTTTCGAGCCAGTGTTTGGTAGCCATGAGTATCTTATGTATAACATGGAATGGGCTTAACAAACAAGGAGACATTGTCTGAATGTCACTCAGGGTTTGTTTCTCTTCAAGCGTTGTCGTCACAATTCATTATAATACAGTTGACTTTTGATCATTTAAAATTGGTGGGCCAAGCAAATACAGTACCGTAAATTTGAATTATCAAGAGGTTGATTTATCGAGAGGAAAATAAACCATTCAAATTACAAAGAGTTCATTTTTTAAATAGGCTACTATTTTATAAGTACAGAACGTTACAATTTATATTTTAGTTAGTTACAAAATTATTTAGGCAGGTTGTTTAGTTTCTCATTATGACAGGAAGGATTCCCTCCCTTCAAACTTTAGAGTGTTTTGCCAACGAACCTTTGAATTACTGCGTGTTCCAAATCGGCCTACCCTCTGCTCGGACTTCAAAATACTGAGTAGGCCTATAACAAAATGCATGATGAAACTTTGAAGAATAATTTCTGTAGAAGAAATTCTCTATGGAAGCTCAAAGAAAGCTCAGTGCTTTTATTTTGAATTATCGAAAGTTTTGATTTATCGAGTGTTTAAACGGTACTTACGTATTAAACGGAGGCCACATATTTTACAGCGCGCTGCAGCGGTTATGTTAGGTTGGGTTATCATAAATATATGTTTTTTTATCAAATTAAACTATCTTAACCTAACCTAAACAACCAAACTTGCTGATGGTGAAGGTTTACTAATCGAATCGAATCTGTTGGTTAGGTGGCCTCCGTTTAATACGTAAGTACCGTTTAAACTACTGTACCAAGAATAGACTATTATCAACCTATACAGACCTAAGATCAAAGCAGAGTATTTTTTATTTTGGTCAATGTCCGTTAATTTTCTGTAGTTCTTTGAAACACAGGTGATGTTCTTTTCTGTTACGTTGGTCTACAGGCCTAATGCTACTAAAATAATTAAGCATAATTTTCACATTGAGTTTTGCTGTTTGGCAATTTCTTGTTTAACTATAAAATAACAGTGAGTACATCGTATAAATTCAAGAATTGATTCAGCTGCTGTTTTAAGAACCTATTATTTGGCTTGAAACTCACATTCTGTTTGAATGTACCCTCTCCATATTGCTTTCTCCAGAGTCCTGGCTATCGTCATCTTACCTGTACACAGATACAATATTTTCATGTCCAAGCACTTATCTTATCAAGCTGTATCATCGAAGTAGTTTTTCTACAATGTGTGTCCTTCTTCTGCTATTATTTTATTAGGATGATTTATTGATTATTCTCTTGGTTTTCAGATGTGGAACACCTTCTGAACTGCCTTAGGAAATGGTTAAGGCTAACGGAGAGAAAACTGCAGCCAATCAACTTCAGAGTGATCTGGACGCTAGCAGAACTAGAAGCTAAGGCCAAAGAACACCAGGTAGGAATAAAAAACTTGTATTTGTGAGATTTTGAATTGGTTTTTATGTTGGCGATATTATAAAATCTTCAGTTTTGGTGAATATATCAAAATCGCTGGGGAGTTGCAATATCAACAACTAATGTTAAACCTTAACCTTAGGATAAACTATGAGTTAAAAGTTAACGCTATGTTTGATCATTTTGACAATCCAATGCCAATTCAGCAAGCGTAATGAGTTGCATTTGTCTCCCTGTGGAGTGGAAGCAAACCTGTTTGTTTGCACATGAGGAATTTTTGGACCTTATGTGCAAACTAATCTTTAAAAATCTGAATTCATCAATATGAATATCTGATTAATCTGGTCAAAAGAACTCTACTTTCAAACAACCCAACTTGTTGGCACTTCTGATGGGCTAAACGACCGTATAAGCTCTTCTTTAAGTCAGAGATACTAACTTCAATGTGGTCTAGTTAAGTGCTATGCAAAATTTATTAACAAAAACCCTTTTTTAATTAGTTTTTTCGCAAATACCAGGTATCTGCTTTCCAGTGTGGTATTATCTATTAATGGCTAGATTGTTGAGTGGATATGAATCTTTTAACCAGCCATTAGTTAAGTTGCCTCAAGTTCTGTGAGCGGTAGCATTTATAGTCGCTGTCTTACCTCATGTCGCCCTGGGTATTTGCAATCGTAACTGCCATAAATGTGGGTTTTGAACTTATATAAGTCTAAATAACTAGGCATGAATAGATTTCAGACAAAAATAGTAGTAAAACAAATTTAATTATTTCACTAAAACACTCAATACAATCTACACAGGTAACACTTGTACACAGTAAAGTAAACACAGGTAATATCATCTGTATACACAATCCACATACAAATACTGTATGTTAAATGTAGTTACAACTATGTACAGTTTGTCATCAAAGACTTCCTTCATCTTTAAATATTCTTCCTCTATTATTCAAAATATATATATAACTTGCCTTTTTGGCCTTGACAACTACTATGAAAACCACAAAACACTAAAACAACAAAAATTTTGACAGCACTACAGTTTAACGAGAATGGTATTGTGCCTAACACTCTGAGCTATGCGGTAAATAGCGTAAAGAGGCACTAACACCTCTATCATGACACACTTCTTCCCCCCCTCACCCTCAAAATTGCACATACTAAGATAAATATTTATGTTAACACCTGAAAACAGTGACTCATATATACTCATTTATAATAATAGCTTGATAATAGGCACATGATTAAAATTTTTTTTTAAACAACAGTTTTGTAAGGTCACACTTACAATTACAAAACTAATGAAATGAAATGAATTCAACCTTATTCATAATTTGCAAACATGTTCACGAATGGTGTCATTACATTGGATCAAAATCATTATGCTTAATCCTAAAAAAGTACAAGACATAATCACTATTGAAAATGTTCTTATTCTAATATATTATGTAAACAGGGGTTTAGTTAAAAAGTACATTTTTAGCTTATTATTAATTTTTTTTAGTTTTTGTATAGTCCTTTAATTTTGTTGGAAGAGCATTGTAACATTTTATACCCATATACATTGATTTTTTTTTTAAATTTTAATCTATGGGAAGGTGTTGCATAGTTATTTCTGTTTCTGGTACAGTATTGATGAGAATCCCCTACCAGTGAGACATTATATTTGAATTTTGGACAGTATATAATATACATTGATAGATATAATAGTTATATACAGTCATTATGCCTAGTTCTTCAAATTTTTCCTTAACCGAATCTTGCCAATCCAAATTTAACATAATGGGGATCGCTCTTTTCTGGAGAATTAAAATTCTGTCTAAATTAGCTTGTGTTGTTCCTCCATAAATACTTATACCAAAGGATAAATGTGAGTGAATATGAGCAAAATAAACCAACCAGATTTTCCGCTTACAAGAAGATTAGAATCATCGGCATATAAACAGATGGTATTTCTTGTTGAATTTGAAATAACATTGGGTAATCCATTTATTTATATATGTAAGAAATAGTGGAGTTATATACTTCCAACGGCTAGCGTGATTACTCTATTAATCTGATGGTCGGTTCTGAGAAAAGTCAGAAGCTATTTGATGTTCCAAAACTGTATCCAGCGACCCTTGATCTTAAAGGTGTTGGCTAAAGAACCAGCTGATCTTGGTCAGTAACAAATCTGTTGTCTCGTTCATTCAACACTTATATGCATCTTGGCATATAAGTCTCGTAGCAATCTAATCTAATTGAGCGGAGCGAGTGAAGCTCTTATACGTCGACTCTTATGCATTTCGTAATACGCAAACTCCTCCTAGACGGCTGAAGCAATCATTTTCAAAATTGCATGGTGATAAAGACCATATCGGTGAGTGCTAACATCAATATGTCACGCATGGATGGCAGACCACGGTCTCTCGCTTGCTTTGAGCAAAACCGGGATAGTGATTTTGACAAAAACGGATTGACACCATTGTGTTGAGGGTGGGAGCCGTCGAGGTTCAAACCGTTCGTTCAGCCAAGTACCTTGGGGTCATGGTGGACAGCAAGCTTAGATCTTCCGTACAGCGGACAAGGCCGCTAGGGTGGTTTCTTCTCTCAGCCGGTTGATGGCCAATGTCGGAGGGCCTCGGTCCAGTCGTAGAAGGCTATTGATGTCTTCTGTCCAGTCCGTAGTCTTGTACGGTGCGGAGGTGTGGGCAGACGCACTAAATAAGGAGGCATACAGGATGCGGCTCGCCCGAGTGCAGCGACAGGCAGCACTAAGGGTAGCATCTGCCTACCGAACAGTGTCTGAGTCCAACGTCCTGGTGGTTGCTGGAGTCATCCCTGTCAAACTTTTGGTGGCGGAGAGAAAGGCAATATATCGGCGCCGTGGGGAGGACCAGGCACGAACAGAGGAATGCACTCGCACCTACCAGCTGTGGCAGGAGAGCTGGGAACAGGAGACATGGGGACGCTGGACCAGGCGACTGATACAGCAAGTCCAACCTTGGGTTAATCGGCGGTGCAGAAACGTGAACTTCTACCTCACCCAATTTCTGACGGGTTACGGTTTTTTCCTGTCGTACCTGTTAAGGATGGGCAAAGCCGTTCACCCGATTGCATATACTGCCCAGGCATTCCCTATGACGTGGAACATACCTTTTTCCACTGCCAGCATTGGGAAAGGCCCCGCCTGGAGCCTCAACAGTTAGTAGGACTGCTGTCGGTGGACACGGTCATACCGATGATGACGGAGGGTGAGGACAATTGGACCTGTGCGTCACATTACATCCAGGGTATTCTCCGTGCCAAGAAGCTCGACCTTGACGGGGATGTGGTGAAGGTCATAAAGAATCTAAATGCCAGAAACGGTGCGAGCCCTGAGGGCTTAGGTCACATGTTGGCCTGTCTGAAGTAATGTGACAAGTTCAGGAGTCTCCCACTACAGGCTCCTGCACTACCTGTGTGCATAAAACGATTTTCCCTCTCTCCCTAAAAAAAACAATAAAAACATCTATATGGCATTAACAAATTCTCTACGGAATCTGCCCCACGGGCCCTCAAAATTTCATTGTAATCCTTATGGAAGCAGTATTTGACACAAAACCAAAGGCATGAGATCAAATGTTGACTTAAAGGAATGATTGTAACTGATATCACGGATAGTAAAACAGAAACTGTATGGATCATAAACATAAACAAATGATGTCACTAGCTCGAACCAATAATAACGGAAACGTATGTTTTTGACGTTTTTGACAGTTAATTTAAAAATAATAATACAAACATGTTTGGTTTTTGGCTAGTGAGCAGAGGCCTCTAGCAATGATTGACAAGCGCTTATCCTACGTCAAGCGAATCCTGACAACCAAAGATCAGGCCTAAGTGTTTGGTGATCTTACTGTATATCAGTGTGGTGATATGGCTCAGCTACTACCTGTGATGGTTGGTGCAGTATTGAGCTTTATTCATGCCATCTTATATTTCAAATCCTGTATCATATCTGTTCATGTGCCTGTATGCACATGGATGTTTTGCCTACAAACACATTCAAAACAATTTTCAACTAAAAACTGTCATGCGTCAATCCGGGGAGGATCAGTCATTTTCGTTTTCCTCTTTCTAATATTGCTCATGGAACAATACAAGAGGAAGGATTCTTTTCTTTACGATTCATATAAATAATACAAACAAAATCGTAGAAATATCCTACGCTGTTCGTATAATGGCTTGAAAAGAAGAGGTGCTAACGTGGCTACTGCCACCCTTAAAATTGGCTAAGCTGCATGGTCCTGTATCATTCATTCGTGTCATAAACAAACCTTCAATAGCCGCAATATTGATTTCGATTAATGCCAATCTTTTGAAAACATCCTCAGATTAGCCAAATGATGTAGAGTCATGTTGCGACCTTATTGACCGATTCAGGATTACTCTATGGTGCTGTTGGCACTGTCCACAATATTTTACACAAATGTGAAGAAGTCACGTTTAAAAATGCAGTTTTTATGTGTATTAGTTTAATTTAGTAATTATAGAGGACCTACATTATACAATAATAATGTGGTACCAATTGTCCCTATTGTAACTAAATATGTAGAAGGTGGCATTAATTTCCCCCAAAACCATTTTTATTGACCCTGAACCAAGCAGTTGTTGATATTGGACCAAAAGAATTCAGTACTGGGTTGATGTACGACGTACGTTGCAGTGATCCCAACCGAACGATATGCGACTGCGTTTCGACACAGGATTTTCAAAAGAACGTCTGAAAAAGAAACTAATCGAAGATAAACGTTTGCTATCACTGTTAACAATTTTTAAGTTTAGTTTGAAATGTTCACATTTGTTGAAATTAGCAACTGTTAGCAACTTCAGTACTACTTGTTTATTTCTTGCTAAACTACGTCCACAACACAGGGACTCAGTATCACAGAGAAGTAATTTACTGAGGAAACAAGCCTAAGGGATGGCCAAGTGCTTTTAACAATATCAGAATTAAATGGATTGGTTAAACAAAATA